AGATTGGACGGTGAAATCGAGCTGTGGTCAAATGGCCGTCTAAAGAAACAAAACCAAAATTGATCACACTGGATGTGGCATAAAAACATTCGGGTGTTGTTGTGGTTTACAACTCACTGATTTGTGCTCATATATGCCTGTGACCGAATTGACTGATCGATCCATTGTCTGACTGTTTGAATTCTGGCTTGATGGCATTCGCGTGTACTGCGACGTGTGAGCCGGACTCTGCCTGCCTGCCTTCCTACATGCTGATCGTTCCTACTTGTTCCCCGGTTTGTGTACCGGCTACGTGTTTGCTGTTTACAATAAACTTACTGTTCCATTCGTTGTGTGTTCATGTGTCTACTAAATTTGGGACATGACATTTGGCGTCGCGGCCACTGAACCTGCAAAATGTTTGTTTTACTGTTTACCATTTATCAATTTTGGAATGACCCTGCTCTCAAACCATTCGTTATGGCTTGGAATACATTAAAGACCACGTTTGTGGATTACGTCGCAGTTTTGCATGCATCCAATCCTTCACTGCAACTTACAAATGAATTGTGCGTTAAATTACTACGACTCTACCTCGGTACCGAATGGATTTGGATGAAAAATCATTGAAGGAAGTCATCGCTACATTGGACAGACAATGGGGCAAATCCGCGAATAAGCAAATGACTCGTTTCATACACGAATTCGAATGCTCTCCGAGAGCACCGGAGGACCCTGCAAAAACCTCTGATGGTACGTATACTGTTGAGTCCCATTGCTCTCGAACAGGTATTGCATCCCTTGAACCTTCATTGCCCTCCACTACTACACATGTCATGAAGTCGATTGTACGGGAAAGTGAACTTCATAAAATTTCTCATTCACACAAAACTCAAGTGGATTAACTCACTTTTGACTGGCAATCCACTTGGCCAAGGAATCTGGTTGACCTCCGAAATATGGGGTCAAATTGACAATTAATTCTGCCATGCGTTTGAGTTGTCCCTGTGAGAACCAATCGGTCGCGGTTCGTTTGAAAACTTGCTTGATCAGATCCGGTAGGGATTGACCACCACCAGCAGCAGGGTTCGGAATGCCGTCTCCATCGGATTTGGAGGGAAGGCGTGAACGATGCGTGATGGGTTCTGCAATCGGACCGCTATTGTCTACAGTGGGAAGTGTACTAGAGGATTTGAATGTGCTTGAACGACGTGATTGAACAGAGATACTATTCCGCATTTCCACTGTGGCTTCCATCGAAGTCAACTGTTTGTTGATTTTCGAGGACTGAGTGTCACTGCGTGATTCTGTAGTCTTGTCTGTGGATTTGGACGATGTTGATTGGTCACATCTAAGGTCGTTTGGATCTGGATTCGGAATAGAGTAACAGACAAATAAGTAGATCAATAAAAAACATCTACCATAGCTCGTTCTTAACAATAATAAATTTGATCGTTCATAAAGCCGAGGAAAACCAGTACCCGAAATGAGTACGGGCCTACTAGTAGAGGAACTAATCCGGTTATCGGGCATCGCAAACACTTGCAATAATAAGGAAAACTGATTATGCTTTACAAATAGCAAACGATGATCACGAATTCACTAAGGAACATCACGTTTCGGGCTTCGACGAATAACAACCCTGGAGGCCAGTGATGCTGAGATGAGCGAGGATCGATACGCGCAACAAGCTTGCATAGATGGATTGTGCTATATCGTATGTTTCAAAATGAGAATCAGTCTGGTCAGCTGCCCGGGTGGGTAGTTTGCTTGTGAGATCCTGGGTTTGATCCCCATTTGGGTCAATGGATTCGCACTGCTGATGAGATCGAACCAGGTCGAGGCAGCTGTGTAGTGCTTCCTAGCTTTTCAGCTCACGCCTCATTTACGCGATGAATTCATCATACGACTGATTTCACCGTGTACAGAGCCACGAAAACACGAAATGAAAAGTTGAGAAGCAATCTGGTACAGCTCTTTCAATCTGTTTCAAGTTCGTCAACATGGTGAGTCCATCCATCGACCGAATTAGGAATTTAAGTCGGGACCTCACTTGTTGTAATGCATTTATTTGATAGGTTGCTTCTTCAATGTGCAAACACACACACAGACGGATATTAATCTGCGTGCTCAACTGCCCTCGAAAGGATTGCGAGCATGAAACTCGTGACTCCATCGGGGTCATAATCCAATGCTAGACTAGGGGGATGAAGAGCAACAGAATGCCTTCACGCAACTACTATGCCAGACCGAAGCGACTGGTTCTTCAAAGTTTATCTACGTATCATCCAACACCTGACTTTGAACTAGTTTTCTACGCTTAACGGTGGCAACTGTGAACAAAATGTGTCGTAGCACCCATTCAAGAGTGACTGTTTCAATCGGTGAAGTCTACTCACATGAATTTGCTGTGACGCCAACTGTTGAGTCAAAATACGGTCTAACGCATGAGGACTTATGTCGGTGCAACCGAACCCCTAATCAGTATTACAGAACCAGAATAGTTGAGCCGGAAGGCACAAACAAAGTGTTGTTAAAAAAAACAGGGACAACCAGAGCACTTACCGATGGCGTTGAGGAACCGGAGCATATCTCGGATCAAACTCCATCGGGATGCTTGCAAAGCAGCTTGAAGCAAATGCAATGTACACTTGAGGGGAACAGAGAGAGAGAGAGATCCGGTAGAAAGGATAAATTTGAAAGTTATCCGCCATGTGATGATCATGATTGTAATATGATAAAATAATCAGTGGATGACTCGATCAATTACCAGGACACGTTATTCGAGGCAAAAAGTGTTTGTTCAAGTTAGATACTGGTGAAACTGAACCCAAGAACGTTGATTCAGATCAAGGAATCAGTATGAATCGAAACCAAGCAAACTAACACAACTCCGCAGTCCATCAAAAGTGTTTCCACAGTGAGAGCCCAACGGGAGGAGTGGAAACAGCGAAACGGCAGTAATCCTAGTTGGTTCACAGTCGTGTTGCTCAGGAGGAAAGAACAGGAACGAGCGGCTTCCCACCCCATAGTAAACCAATGACAAAGTACCTTAAAACACCGTAGCAAGCGGTAACTCAAAAAGAAAGGAGTAGAAGACACCTTTTTTGATTGATTGCCTTAAAGACGATGACGAATTTGGACGTTCATTCGTCACGAGCAGCAGTGTTTGTTAAGGATGTACTAGCTCTTGTCCAGTTACAAGTGGACAAAGAGTAAAAAAAAAAGGTGTGCAATTTGAACTAGGCTGACGATATTTTTATCGATTTGAATGAATGGAGGATGTACAAAGCAAACATGATCAACTAACAGGTTCCGTCGCTCCGTTCAGTATACACTTTGTACGTTATATATGATAATAAATAGTATGTGAATGACTAAACAAAATTTCCCTGGAAGCACACGACCGGTTTCGCGGTTCTTGGCGCTGGTCAGGCATGCGTATCCGGTAATCTTTTGTCGGGTCATTCATATACGTGTACCCGGGAAATGTATTTTTGTCACAAGAGCTGTCTATTTAATGGTCACCCCGTGCTGCAAACAAGGTTATTGTTACGAATGTATATATATATATATATGAAAGACTGCGGGTCCGCTAGCCTCTCTCTGAAAGTAGATGGTCTGGAATTAGCTGAAGTTGCTAACTTCTCGTGTCTAGGTCGTTGAACGAAGTAAGTGCAGCCCAGCATGTGACTGCACACATATATACTTGAGGTTTGAGCGNACTTGTGGAGTGAACATGAGATCTCCGTGAAACTAAAAAGCCGAGGATATTGTACCTTCACATGATCAGTTTCGGTTTGCGGTTGCAAGACAGATTTTTTGCGTGTGTAGAGAGCATCCATCGATTAGAACTTTTCGATCATCGGTAGGATGGAGCGAACATGTTCGCCCTATTGAGGCAGTCGTGATGGTTTTTTCCGCGGTGCCGACTCTGACAGTCAGAAAAATCGTGGGTACTGAGTGTACATTGCCACGAACACATAGTTAGACTATCTCGCCTATTATATTCATCAACGTTCTCGTCAGTGTGGTTGTATCGAAGTGTGTCTGGTGTGCAATTCACCGTACATAGCAGCACATTTGCGTTTTTCGACATGCTGCCTTATCATCAGAACAGGCGAATTGATTTGAACTCAGACAAAGTTCAAAGTTTTAAGGTTTTATTATGGGAATAACTTACAAACTCATACTTTTCTCGTCCCATAGGTTGGTGTTGCGGTTAAAAACAGTGATACATACAATTTCTTGTGTAAATGTCACGTGATACCACTGCACGCAGCCTAACTTATGTTGGCATGTAAGGTGTGCTAATACTTCATCCAGTCTCAGTTTGAAAGATTCAATGCTTGGNTGCACAGACGTTGTGGGGTGGGAGAGTTCAGATCGAACACACTCTGACTGCGAATGATTGACCCCGGTATCCCAATCGGCATTTTGAGATCACTAGTTTGAACGGATGTCCTCAAAGTTGAACGTCGGATGACAATTTTTGCAACGGGCAACACGGATGGCTTGGCTTTTGCGTTATTTGGTATACCATAATCATGCCTCCTCTAATGCGCCGGTAGTAACCGGAATATAGCGACTTCAATCTCTGCGTATGAATAACGATTCAACCAATTAGCCATCCTTTGTGGACGATCCAGCATTTTGCAATCACGCTGCAGCCATCCATGGCTTCCATGCCTGGATGGCATACTCTGTGGGTGGGTGAATGCATGTTGATAGTAGACGGGGGAAAACGCTGACTCAAATCGGCCAAAGACACACCTAAGCAAACCGACATTGTTTGCAGCTGCGTTCGACACCTTGGCGCAGTTGGGTGAGTAGCCCAAGTTTTCTTGAATGATAATGCCCAGGTCCTTCTCACTTGAGGTGTATGACAGTTGTTAATTTCAGAGGAAATCGCCCGCTTGTGTCGTAGAGATAGAAACATAAACACTTTGGCACATTGAATTTAATATCGCTAAAAAGAGATCTGTTCGTCATCAAACATTTTAAACATTTTGATCAGAACAGAAACGCAACACTGACTGGAGCCCATTCTTTCTTTCCCAATGCAAACAATGTATGGATTTCCACCGGGGGGCGATCGACATATGACATCTAAATTGGAAAGCTTTCCATTCATCTTGTGTAAAACCGAACAGATTCGGGAAACGTTTGCGATCCCTTGCTCATTGATCTTGTAAGTAGTGCGATTTTGGAACAGTGAGTAGTCCCCACGAGACGGATGATCATCAACCGGCATTCGGCATTAATACGAGCACATCTAATTTGTTGTTCGGTTCCACACAGAAGATGGGCATGCATGACGGAGTTGGAAATAAAAGAAAGTCTTATCTCACACGGCCAGGGGTGAAGATTCAATTGTATGAGAAAGAGACTAACAGAACGGCGGTACTAAACAATTACGAGCTTCGGGCAATTTGTGATAGTAGTGAATGTGCATTAGACGAGTTGTACAAAAGCACACGGCTTCACCAATCACCCTATTACCCAACTGTTTCCATCTCAAGGTTTTCATGTGTGCTCGAATCGATTACCAGAGGAAAGTAACGAACTCATGTGACAGTATGTTCCATTCGAACGACAGCGATCGATAAAGGACCTTCTGATGTTGGTGAACGAGAAAAAAAGCTAAAGGTATATATGAGGGCCACGGCGTTCTATCATATGGTGTTTTGCAATCGAGTTTTCGAGAGATAACAGGCTAAATCGGATGTATCTTGATGCACGAAAACCACGGACAAAAGGACAAAGTATGAGGAGAAAGCTGACAGCAGATAAGGTGGATAAATGTTTGAAAAAGCTAAACATGGACCACTTAACAGTATGCAAGAATGTTTGAATGCGACAATATTTGAAAGAAAAAAGTGCTCACAGTTACCTCCGAGTAGTCTTGTGGAATAGTTGATATGGATCGATTGGAACTGACAATCTTTCAGACTTCACCTTCACGTACATTCCTCAGCTCTTCCAGTCAACCATACATTTGAAATCACTAGGCTCGAGTTTCGCTCCTATAACGCTCATCAGTAGTGCATGCCCATCGAGCGCCAGGATTTGAAGTCCGGACCCATCAAATGGAATGTGTGTGTTACGGCTGTGCCAACCAGCTCAAGTCAGGACTGAACAGAATTACCAATTCATATTTGTTTAGGTGTTGCCTTCAGTGATACTCAGTCAATTTATATTGGTCCGACAGCATAAACGAAGACAGGTGATTATCTGTAAACTGATATCGAAAGTCTCCCATTAAATCATGTATTCCAAACAGGTTACGGGTGGATTTGCTACAAACCTACTCGGTTCGACTGACAGTTCGTATTTATCCCACAGTTGCTGAAGACGATACCTGAACAGACCTGAATTGGCACTTCGGTTCAGCGCTGGCATGAGCTTGGCACAGTGGTAACACACACGCCTTCCATGAGATGGGTCGGGAGTTCAAACCCCGTACGGGACGGTGGGTGTGTACCACTGATGAGCTTGAATAGGAGCGAAACTTCAGTCTACTGCTTCCAAATGTATGGTTGACTAGAAGGGCTGAGGAATGTGTGAAGATGAAGTCTGAAAGATGTTCCGTTCCAATAGATGGGAAAAGCGCGTTCTCAATGGATATACAGGTTCACAAACAAATACTGAAACCACCTATCAAGCAAAAGTTGCGCCGGGAACTGAAACTGTAGGATTCTGTCGCGGGAAGTTAGATTTTTGTTTGCTTTGAGTTCAAACATCCGCTTGCACTCACACGATCACGGGCACTCGTGTGAAAAGCGAACCACGGGGAGTAATGTAGTATCATGTACGAGCGGTTAAGAAAAACGGCCGAGGTAGAATTGCGCGACAGTGTATTTTTGGTATAGTCGGTCATGTATCTTTGTAAAACACAACGTACCAATGAAGTTTATGGCAACGAGGTGGGAATTCATGGGCAGTTTACACTCGAGGTGTTCGTAACGCTAGTTTCGTACAACAGGCGAGGAGAACATGTTATGATGAAGGTCATTACAAACCGTTTTAAAATGTCTTAGGGAAAACAGGTCGAACACCACCTACCTTCTGACTAACACCAATTGGTTCACAGGACTGTAAAATGATGAGATAAGCGGCGGCGGCCGGTAGATTTCCACAATCCACACACAATTCGAACAAGTCTTTCGGTCGACGTCCGACCGCGGTGAACAGATGAGGCCATCGGGCCACTTCGGTTTTTCGGGCACACTGAGCCACGGTTTCAAGAAAGTGGGGGAATTCCTGAATGAATGCGACCACCTGAGGTAATAGGGGATCTGGGTACAAATCACAGAGGAACAGATACACAATTGGAATGAGAACGACAAAAAGTTACGAATTTTAAACGAACTAGATAGGAAAAAACTGTAACCAAGTCAACAAAACCGTACGTACCGGGAATGGGTGATTTCGAGGTGGCCTCGGATTCCAAAACTTCGTGCAGGAGCCACTCGAGAACGCGATGAAAGTGGGGCAAACTTTCATAGGCGAAAGCCAATTGCAGTGCATGGACCCCCAAGCTGTGGAACGCGAGAGAAAAGAAAAAAGACAGATTATCAAAATGTGATTGGCTAGACGTTTTTTTAATTACACACCAGTGTGTGAAGAACAGCAATCGGGGCGGACCTCATTGTCACGAAGACCTGTTGTTAAGTGATGGTAACGGGCAATCTAAAACCCGGAGCTTGGAGTGGCGAACCACATAAGGCCCCGCTAGCTCAGGTGTGGTATAGAATCGGGTAACAGCAAAGCCGCCTGCCACCAAAGTAGGGTGGCGGGGCTCGAACCTTGGACCACAGGATCCAAGGCCCACCGATGACAGCGGCAAGAACAGAGCTGTATGCTACCGAGCGCGTCCCCAGGTCGCGGATAAGAGGACGACCGCTAACTGGCGGTTAACTATGAATCAGGTAAGTCTATTCACACTGAATAACCGGTCGCGGACGATCAGCGGCAGTGCTCGAGGATGTGGTGGGTTTACCACTTGGCAAGGGTTCTCCACACAAAATACCACATGTATCTTATGACAGCGCCGTGACATAATGAGTGTGGCCCACCACTGAATACGATCATTGCCTCTTGTCGAATTCCATCGACCCGATAAGGTCGACCGACCGGTCACCGACTTATCTGGAACAATACTGTTGCCTTGTAGTTCGCTCTTGGCTGCGTAAAGGCTAGAGTGCATCCTCGAACAAGGCCTGGACTGGGCGACCGTGTAGTACAACAGCCCACAATGCAAACAATGAACGTCAACCTAATTAATAACTCACTCCTTAAGTTCTCGCGCATGAAAAAACGCTTTGCACCGTGCACATCTCCCTATCCTTCAGTTTTCCCTCTAACTCACATTCACCCCCCTCAAACATTACCATTATTATCGAGATCACCAGACAATCGTACTACCAGTTGTGCCTCTGATGGAAATTCCGTCCCTTTTCCCTCGCGTCCTGTCTCGAATAGCATCCAAGTCTCACCGAATCTTCCCCCATAAGTGGAAGCTCTTCTTCGTCCTCGATGTTCATTCAAATCAGCCACATTTAACGTGCATACCTTGATGCGTATAGGACAAAAGGCGAGTTTACCTCGTACTCTCGAGACCCTAGCCATCGATGTGTGTTGTATCCAAGAGACTCGCATTCAAGACTCCAACTCCATTATCCGATTGACGTCCGCATCTAACCAATCCATGAAGTTTCACTTACGCCTCTCTNCGGCTTCCGGTCTTGCTGGCGTCGGCGTAGCTCTCGGTGAGAGAGCTGAAACCGCGCCCCTGGATTGGATCCCAGTCGACAGTAGGTTATGGGAAGTGAGACTTAGAAGTTCGTGCAAAGTAAATAATCGTCACTCCAGAAGACGCAACTAGTTTGTCGTCTCAGCGTACGCACCTACGAACTGTAAACCAGATACAGTCAAAGAAACTTTCTACCAAAAGCTACACGAAGTCTTGCGTAAGGTAAATCGGGCTGATATGGTGATTTTAGCAGGAGATATGAATGCTAGAGTAGGCCGACTGACTTCGAGTGAGACGCATCTGGGTGGTCCATTCGGACTAGATTCCTGTCGCTCCGAAAACGGTTGATGCATCTATGTTCTGACCACCGCCTATTCCTCGCCAGTACGAACATCAGATGCTCCAACTGTCGTTACGTCACTTGGCGTCCGCCCTCCTCGAGTCAGCGACAAACGCAGATCGACCACAACGCGATAAGCCACAAATGGCGGAGTTGCATTCGAGATTGCNCCGACCATGCATTAGTATGTGCCAAGCTGTCCATATGCTTCGGTGGGCGTTCCAAACGCACGACACAACGACGGTTAAACTGTGATAGCCTGTCCAAACCAGCTTGTTAATTGTCCTCCAAAACGCGTTAGCTGAAAAACTAGAACCAACCCCACCCCATAATGTTAACCAGCAGAGGTCACTTGTCAAGAATGCTCTGCATTCTGCTGGCTTAGTTAGTTGTGATCTGATACGTCGCGCCGTGATACCCTGGATCTTTGCGGAGTCTCTACGCGNTGCAAGCCTAAGTAGAGACCGCGAGATTTGGTGGTCTCAACGCGCATCAGAGATGGAACGTGCTGCCGCCATGGGGAATTCCCGGATGCTATTCCATCTCATCTGAGTCACCGGTAGGAAAGCCTTGGGCGTGAGCGAGACGATCTATGATCGCTTATTCACAATCAACAGCGACGTCTTGAACGCTAGGCGGAGCACCTCAAAGCACAATTTAGCTGGCCACCCGCTCCAGCTTCTCACACAGCTATTCCGGCACACGTCCCATGGTCTGTTTCAAAAGACCCACTTTCTGAGGCGGAAATCCATAAACAGATCCAAGCCTTGGGACGTCACAAAGTGCCGGGCGCCGATGACCTTCCCCCTACTCCATTTGAAGATGGTGGAATAAAACTTGTTAGAGAACTACAAGTTCTGTTCTCTAAAGTTTGAAACACTGAGCAGGTCCCCTCCTTGTGGGGGCAGTCGATTGTCGTAACCCATGCTTAAAAAGAGTCCGCGCAGTGATTACGCCAATCATAGGGGTATAAGCTCGATCCCAATAGCTTCAAAGCTGTTAGCGTCCGTCATTCTTCGTAGATTGTATAAAACGCGCGAGGAACATGCCCGCGAGGAGCAGGCTGGGTTTCGTGCTGGTCGTGGCTGCATCGATCAAATCTTCACCCTCCGATAGTTGCTTGAGCACCATCATGCTTACCGCAGACCAAAGATCATTGTGTTCTTAGACATTCACGCAGCCTTCGATTCTGTTGATAGGACCACACTATAGAGGTGTTTGTTGATGAATGGAGTACCTGAGAAGTATGTATCGATCCTCAAAGAGTTGTATCGTCATACCTCAGGTCGGGTTAGGGCTTATGGCCAGCTTTCACCACCCTTCGCTGTCTCCATTGGAGTTCGACAAGGCTGCCCTATATCCCCATTCCTTTTCAACTTTGCCATAAATGATGTTCTGCAGGACGCTTTGTCCGGTCTACCAAACGGTGGGGTTGAACTCCTCCCAGGGAACAGAGTTCTTCACTTGGAATATACCGATGACATCGCCTTGCTGGGTGACAACTCACAGACAGTCCAAGAGGCTCTGAACCGCTTGGCGATCGAGGTATCCAGATATGGTATGTGCTTTGCACCTTCCAAATGCAAAGTTCTTGTTCAAAACTGGCAGGAGCCTGTGCCTGCACTCACCCTCTGTGGTGATCAGCTGGAAGTAGTTGAGNTCATGCTTACCGCAGACCAAAGATCATTGTGTTCTTAGACATTCGCGCAGCCTTCGATTCTGTTGATAGGACCACACTATAGAGGTGTTTGTTGATGAATGGAGTACCTGAGAAGTATGTGTCGATCCTCAAAAATTTGTATCGCCATACGTCAGGTTGGGCTAGGGCTTATGGCCAGCTTTCACCACCCTTCGCCGTCTGCGGTGGAGTTCGACAAGGCTGCCCTATAGCCCCTTTCCTTTTCAACTTCGGCATAGAGGATGCTTTGCAGGACGCTTTGTCCGGTCTAGCAGACGGGAGAGTAGAACTCCTCCCAGGGAATAAAATTCCTGACTTAGAATATGCTGATGGATAACTATCTGTTAATTTATGCTCACCTGCACAGGTTCACCCGGTGCTCAAATATGACGGCAATCGGAATCCGTGGCAAACAGAGCACTTGAGTGAATGCGATCTACTAGTACCGGTTGTATAACCTCGACCTTGCTTGCTCAACAAGAAAATTAGTGGGATTAGGCTTCGTGGATCATTGAAATTAATAGATAGAGACACCGAATAATATGAGTTAGTGTCTGTTATGGCTTACGACTGACTGATTTGTGCTCATACATGCCTGTGACCGAATTGACTGATCGATCGACTGACTGACTGTTTGAATTCTGGCTTGACGGCATTCGCATGTACTGCGACGTGTGAGCCGGAGTCGGCCTGCCTGCCTTTCTGCATACTGATCGTTCCTGCTTGTTTTCCCGTTTGTGAACCGGTTACATATTTGCTGTTTACAATAAACTTACTGCTCCCTTCGTTGTGTTCATTTGCCTAATGAATTTTGGATATAACAGTGTCATAAAGAATACCGCTGGTATATCTACTCATTGCCCTTTCGTTGCCTTCTCTCTCTCTCTCTTGATCTTGATACCATAAACATTCCAACATTCCCTTTACTCCTTCATCCAAATGGATAGCGAACACATAGAGATACAGCAATCAAAGCCGCGGCACAAACGTGCATAGCAAACAGGTAGTTGGATGTAGTTGGCCTTAACCACTGACAGTTTTCTTTTGTTTCGTACAAACGACGATTTCACCATGAACGCTTAAGCAATCCGGCTCGGTTTTTCCCCCTCACTCTGAAAGTAGGATTACTAACCATCCAGCTCACATAGTCGTAATTGGTGTACATACACTGCGAGCTCGGCAATGATCGACGAATTCAGTTTCACTGTGTTTGAAGAGACATACAAGCTGATTCTGGGAACTTGGCTCGGTTGGGTCTACATCTGTATATTGAGCATCCTGGATGTGCGGATCGCACTTTAGGGATATGGGATTCAAGTGAATAAACAGTAACCCGTAATAAACCGCTGATCCGTTTTTTGGTTAGTTAGTGAAAACCGGAGATCAATTGCTTGGCAGAATCGTGCCCAGAAAGCAAATTATGAATTGTTTGCTTTTACAAAAAAGCTTGTACAGAATCATTCGTTTGAGATCGTCTTCAGTTACAAATATATCGACAGGTAGGAGGGTTGTTCAGCAGAAATATCAGGAAATGATGATGAAACTTGTCCAAGATATCATTTGCGAGTATTATTACTGATAAAAGTTGAAATACTACTCACATTTGTGGGTAGTATGCTTGGAGCGCTCAAGCGGACGCAATTAGAAGTTCCTCATAACGGTCAGTAATGAACAAGATAACCTGGAACGAATCGGTGACCACAGAAAATGCACATCTACCATCAGACTGTGCGATCAATTGAACGCTTCGATCTAGGCAACCTGAATT